CATACAGGGAGAAACAAGGACCTCAGAGCATGGTTCTACCTGTTGCAGCTGCTGCAGATCAAACTTGCAAATGTGAAAAAAGCATCAGCAGGTCAGTAACATCTACTCCCGTCTGTAGTGAGCAAGAATCAATTGTCCAGAGAGGATGAATTTTCACATATGCTGTACTGGAGCATTAACTCCTCCATCTACCCTTTAGGGGCTCAGCAGCCATACCAGATTCTATCTGGGGGATAGGACAGGGTGGAAAAGAACTGGCAATTGACCTGGGTTGGTGTCTTAGAAGGAACACCAGCAGGAAAGAAAAACAAATTAGAGCAGTTGGTTCTTTCTTCCTCTGCTCCTTGAGTGCTTGTCGTTTGAACCCTCGGAGGGAAACTGATGAACAACTATGCTTTGTGCTGGCTTCTCTTTGAGACCATTTGTTGCCTGTTTTCTTTTTAAGTCTGAAATGTTAGAAAGAGATCATTATTTTTCCTATTTAGCTTGACCTCTTCCTTCCTGGGAAAGTTCCTCCCCTTGTACTGGCTCTGTCCTTTTCACACAGTGCTGTGTTGAGGTAAAGTTCAATAGAAAACTTGGATTCCTAGAAAAAATACTGGGATTTGGAATGAGACATTCCCTCGAACAGACACTGTGAAACTCTGCAAACATATCCTGACTCTCTCTGGAGATGCTGTGAGGTATCAGATGTCAATCATGCACAATGAAAATATATGCATTGCTGAAATAGCAATGTTAGGGCAAACACTTCCATGAGATGGAAACTGCTCCTTGGGTCATCTCTCCCACCTTTGTTCAGCAAACCTTCTACTCAGCTGCAGTTTCTCCTAAGGAGAGAGGTTATCTGTGGTTACAATCTTGATTGCCCAGCAAATTGCTGAATGCCTGAGGAAGCAGGAGGAGAATGTGCAGCTTCAGGGTGTGTGGGTTTTTCAGTCTGGTTTACAGTGAACGCTGGAGGTTGAGTGTCTGAGATGCCTCTGGATCCTGACACCATTTGTTGCGGCATTGGACAGATGCATCCTGTGCTGGGAGGCCACCCCTGGCATTCTGGAACAGCTGTGGGAGTTAAATAAACTTCTGTTTGCTTCAGGTGCTTTGGATCATGAGACTGGCAAAGGCTGGCCATCCAGGCAGAGGCAGATCCAGACACTGTGAAGTGAGCATGAAGGCATGACTGTGTCTTTGTTGAGGCACTGAAGGTACATACTTCAGTTACAGACTATTTTCTTCACTCACCCTATTTTCATTCCTTCTCTCCACTGAATGTTACCTTCAGCTAAAGGGCATGGGCCTATATATATGGTCAGTACATATGACCAGAACTTTTGGTGTCAGAGTCCTTTGTCCTTTATCCAGCAGCAAATCTGCTCAGCTCCATGTGATGCAGCACAGAGATTTTTTTGCTTTTGTTTCTAGTGTTTACAACATGGGGGGAAAAAGTTAAAGGAAAAGTGCTCATAAAACTAGAGCAGAGTTATATAAACAACTGAGAACCTGCAGGAGGATCTGTCTGAGATCTGACCTGGTCATTTGTTTAAAGAGGATGTTTACTCGCACCACCCATTGTGGTGACTGTGCTGTCCAGTTCTCCATAGAGGAAAGTAAATGGAGGAGGTTTTTGACTGTGATTTCTTACTGTGCTGCAAAAAATAGGTGGCCTTTGAACTACCCCATTATTACTTTTCTCTAATAAAGAACTGGTGATTCAAACTGTATCTGTGGGACACCCACGCAGAGCGCCCAGCTGGAAGATTGCACATGACCAAAGGGTCAGTTCATCTGTGCAAGCTGTTGTGAGGAGGGAACTCCCTTGGGTGAAGGGCAGAGGTAAAAACCTAATGCATGAAAGAGAACTTGGAAGAATAGTGGTCTCACTGTGCTTTTGGATCTTGACCTCCAATATAAACTCTCTAGACTGCTTGCCTTTCTATTTTCTAGTGACTGAATGGCACCTTTAGGTGGAAAATACGTTTTCTTCTCCATCTTGAAGATATTGATCTAAGGGAAAATCTTGCACAAAAGGATTGGGAAACAGTTAGAAAAGTTAAAGTGTGTAATAAATTAGGGCTGAGAGAATATAAAAAAAGAATTTAGCACATCACTTGACAGATAGGAAGTCATTTATGTAAATTTAGGGAAGTGGTGGTTGGATTCAATTGGTCTAATTTAAACACTCTTTCTAATTATTTTTGGTATGTATACAGAGGATTATATGATGGTCATTATTCTGACAGAAGGGTTCTTCATATTTAAATTTAAATCCATAAATTATTACCCTATTAAAATGTAAACATGCTGTGATAACAAGCACCTGATTATGCAGACAGGTTAGTCCAGCTACTCTGGTGAACAGCTGTGTGCATGTATTTCAGATAATGCTTTTTTTTACACCCTAAAAACCACAAGCAAGCCACTGAGAGGTCAAGAGATGCCTGACCCACAGGTGGGAGCTGCCTGTAAGGAGGTTTGCTGGCACTGAGTGCAGATCTGAGAGCAGATGGGCTCTCACACGTTTCCACTGAAAGGAGGCCCTGGTGGCACCCAAAAGTACAGAGGGAAGATGACACAATTAACAAAATTAACAATTCCCCCTCCCTACAGTCTGGTGCTGCTAATCCCAAGTTAAAACTCCTAACAGCATCTTTGGAGAACCTTCCTCTTTACATCTCGACAGTTTTCTCCTTTTTGCCAAGGGAAAGATCATGAAGGTTTACTGGGAAGCTGCCAAATGACAGCTTGACTTCACACCTGAGAAGCAAATGAATGAAGAGAGAAGGAAAACCTCAGCCTGGCTCCAGCCTGGCACAAACACAAAGAGTCCTGGGAGTGTGGGCATGAGCAACCCCTGGAGCTGCTGCAGCAGCAGATGCGGCATGAGCAGAGTCCAAGCTGAAGCTACTGTGGAGGAGGGAGCATGGGGCCCATTACCAAACTGCAGAAGAGTTATCATCATCTGCAGACCTGAGGGTGAGGTGGAGACCTGGCCATGGATGATTCTTGGAGGTGTGGGACAAGGCTTAGAGCTCCACACTGTACAGCAGCCCTTCCTGAGTTGATTTGGCTTTCCTTCCCAGAGCCATTGCAGCAAAGGCTCAGATCAGCTTTCTCAAAAGGTGCATTAACAATCATCAGGGGAGCTGACAACCATGATTTATTCTTTAACTATCCCAAAACTGTATTTTTGGATGTATAACTCATGGTTTATAAACCCTGGGGGTAAAGGGCACCAAGAACTTCATGACACTCACTTCTTAAACCTTGTGGTTTTATGGCAGAGAGTGCCAGACCCTGTTGAGGGGAGCTGCCGGTGGCCTGACTCCATCCTGGCACAGGTCAGCACTGGTGTGGGTGCTCATGTGCAGTCAGCCCTCTCCTCCACATACACGTCATGGTAGGAGATCTCTGGCAAGGTGTTCCAGGATTCTTAAGCCTTTCTGTGAAGTTAAGACTACTGCAGCTGTAAAATATGAATTGCTCTTGGCTCTTTAACTGCCTGTAGAAAAGTAAAGTAGTTGAAGTTTTGAATTTTAGTCCGCATTTTAAAATGGGAGAAAAATGCTTTGCATATGAATTTTTTTTTTCAGCAATATGATGAGCATTGTGCCTGACTCATCCTTCATATGGGTGAACTAAGCAAGCTAAAAGAAATACCCCTCAGGGCAGGGATTTCTATCTTCATTTTTCTTTTAAGGGAAGAAACTTCCAAGGACTGGCCCCAAAGACTACTAACTAGTTGTTGCCTGACCCCACCAGGTGTTTGCAATCTGCAATTCTAAAGTCAGCGGGAGACCAGGCATATCTAGCTGGATGCCTTTGCAACAGCTCTCAGGGCAAGAGAACAACTATTCCTGTGATACCAGGCCGATGCACAGGTCCTGCAGTGCTGGATCTCCTCTGGTTGACTACCACAGAAGTGTCTGTAACATGAAGGCTGTGAAAGCATCCGGCTGTTGTGTCACTGTGCTAAGGGCCAGCATAGAACCCAGGGCTGCAGTACAGAGGCAGCCAGAGCTTTGTGGAGCCTCGTGGGAACATGAGGTGAGTAATCACAGCTGCAATTCATTTCAAAGAGCCAAGTGAGCTCCCTGGAGGAAGCTGGGACAGTTCTGCTGAGAGGGCGGTTCTTTGGGGGTGGGGAAAAGGCTACTCTTCTGTTCAGGTGGAAGAATTGAGTGGGAAAGCCTTGCACGTTCCTCGAGGGTGGGCATTTTCATCACAACTGTAGACTGACTTCCCTGGGATCTAAAGTAAGTCAGTATTAAAGCCAGGAACTGACCAAACAGACCTCGCAGCTCACGGTTTCAGTGCTGTGCTGCAACCACGAGGCTGTCCTTGCTCTGTTTCTGCTGACCCTTCACTATGTGCTTTTCTCTGTTAGAGCTGGAAAGCAGCTTGGCAGCTGAGAGTTTACCTTTCCTCGCACCCCGTACAGCCGCAGCTTGTCACACAGGACCCACGCAAAAGACACATTTTGTCCTTGCCCTGATCGGACGGGCCGAGCAGCAGCTGCACAGAGGCGCGGGGGTCTGACTGCCCCCGCCGTGGTACCCAAAGCTGCCGGGGTACCAGCAGAGACGGCGGCAGCGACCTGCCCTTGGGGAAATCAAAGCAAAATTACTGTAAAACAGCCAAGGCTCCCTAAAAAGAAAAGATGCGTAACTATTTATTGTGACTCGTGGCACGGCTGCGGTGCGGTGGCCGGAGCAGCTCGGGTGCCCGAGGGGCACGGACAGCGCCGGGACCGCGGCCCCGCCACCCCCTCCCTCAGGGCCCGGCCCCGCCTCCGCCCCCGCGCGCCGCCGGGGCGGAAGTGGGCGCGCGCGGGGGGCCGCGCGGGGCGGCGCATGCGCGGGAGGCGCTGTGCGGCCGCGCCCCGCCCCCGCCGCGGTGGGGTCTGGCGCGCGCTCCGTGCGCGCGGCGCGAGGCCCGGCCCGGGCGGCGGGGGCAGCGCGCGGGGCGGGAGCGGCGCGCGGCGGGGAGAGGGCGGGGGGCGGGCGGACAGACCGACCGACGGACAGACCGACCGTGTGAGAGGATGTGAAGATGGCGGAGCTACAGATGCTGCTGGAGGAGGAGATCCCGGGGGGGCGCCGGGCCCTGTTCGACAGCTACACGAACCTGGAGCGGGTGGCCGAGTACTGCGAGACCAACTACATCCAGGTGCGCGCGGGCCCGCGCCGGCCGGGGCAGGGGCGCGTGCGCCCCCGGTCCCTCAGGAGCCCCCCGCGTGCCCGGCCCCGCGGGGCGGCAGCGCCGGCTGCTGCAGCCTGGGCAGGGGAGGAAGGCTGGGTCACCTCCGGCGAGAGCTGCCCCGGCGTGACGAGGCGTTTGAATGTGTGATCGAGTCCTAAATTGAATTCTTTCCACTTTTTTTGGGAGTGAATGTTTATTCCAGGTTGTGTCTCGGTCGCTCCTTTTCGTTCCCCTTCCCATGTTCCACTCTCCTTTGCTGCTGGCGCTGAGGTGATGAACCGAGGGATAGCTGACTCCTGCAAATACGGTTAATTTAGGGCACAATGACATATGTTTTAATAGGGATGTGCCTGTCAGTTCTCATTTCCCTTCCCGAGCAGGGCTGTGGAATTCCATGGGAAGGGCAGCTACCAAGCGGTAGGTGCAGGATGAAAGCGTGATGTAGTAAGAGATGGTAGAGAATTAGGGAGAAAGAGATTAAGTACAAGTTCCTACCGCAGTGTGTGTTTTTTGCGGTGGCTGCTCTGAAACCAGGTTGGTGTTAGGACTTCGCTTTTTTCCTTTCTCTTTTTAGTGGAAAGAAAAGCAAAATACTGACAATTTACTTTGGTAGTGGTGGTAGGGCCAGATAAAAGAGTTTGCCTTCAAACAAACACAAAAAGACACCTTAAGATGGGTCTGAGTGTGCAGGAGAGAAAGGCAGAGGGGGCGATGTGGATTTGTGGTGTCAATGTTGAGAGAATTACGGAGGGTCCCGGTATTATTTTTGCATTCAGTACTCGAAGTGAAGAGTTCTTATGTGTTTCCACAGGGCAGCGAGATGAGATCTGTGGTGAGACTATTCTGTCAGTGAAAATGGGAGAGACTGTTTAACCAGTGGCAGAGAATACTTAAAATGTCCCTATAAAAAAAGCTCTCACTGTTTCTTTTGAATTGCTGAATGACCAGCTGTCCTTTAGAGAGAAGACTGCACATTTTGGGTCATTTACAAAACATGTCAATTACAGTGAAATTGTATAGATGTATTTTATTATGTAATAATTTTCCCTGTGTTGAATTAGTGTGTCTTAGGTTTTTTAAGAGACATATGTTGAAATATTTCCTTACAGTTATTAACTGACATACACGTGTTTAAATTTATGCTTTTTTTAAAACTGTGAAACTGATTTTTCTGGAATAATGGAGAGGGGTATTGGGAGGCAGAACCGGAGAGGAAGAAGGGCATGTAGTTTGGGGTTGTTTTTTTTCTTTTGACCTTTTTTGTGTTCTTTGTATAAACCAAAGTTCAAAATCTCTATTGAACGGCTCCATTTTTAATGTTTTAATGAAACTGCAGAAGAGGACTCCATGCTGTTTTGTACAAATAGAGAATGAAAAAAGATGGTTATTGCCCCAGACAGCACACAGTCCATAAGGACAGTCTGAAATGATAGGAGACAGATGCAGACAGATGGTGAATGAAGGAAAAGAATGAGGCACTCTTGGTCAGCCTGGTGGATTCTGACCACCACACAGCAATATCTAGACTGTTGGCAATTTATCCAAGGATCATGACAACACAGAGCTTTAAGGGGGAGGTGAGACTTAAGGAATGAAATTTTGTTGTGAGCATTGACTGTGAGATGCTGTGTGGGTCACAGCATGAACATGTTTAAATTTTTAAACAAGTGGAGAATGGGGGACATAGCCAGGCGATAAGCTCTGCCCTTTGGAGTTCTCTGAGACATCATAGAGTGGGTTTATTGTAGAGAAGAGGTCCAGTGTGAGGGGATTCTGGATTTAATGATGTGAGTGTCCTAGTAACAAATCTGTCAGGGAGCCCACCCCACCTTCATGGTGCCAGAGCTATGTAAACTGCTGCACCATAACTGCATACAAAGCTGAAATTTTCTTCTCTATAGCAGGAGAATAGATGAGTGGATATAAGTGTTGGTTAGTTAGATACTTGTGAGTGATTTTGCTTCTAATAACATTTATTATGCTGAAGTAAATATGTCCTATGAAGTCCAAATTATGTCTTGAATTTTGTGGTGAAGATGGGTTTGTGACTGCTCTGAAATGCGTGGAAGAATAATTGTCCAGAATGTCAGGTAGTGAAGACAAACTAATTCTGCTGTAGTCCTGTAGTGTTTCGTTGTTGACAGAAGATTTGGTTGTGGATATTTTTGAGGTCTCCTAGGGGAGGCTCCGGACGTGACTGAGAGCTGGACTTGATCGGCGGGATAGCAGGCACTGTGGCAGTGGGGACGTTGAAGGCCTGTATTTGTCAGTAGACAAGCCACTGCCTTTCTGTGCCATTTGCTGCTTTGTGGTTTTATTGTCAAGTACAAAAACTGTTGCAAAAGTCATTGGAGGCATAGTAACAGAGAATTTGAAGTTTAGTGCTAAGGTGAATATGTTTTTTCTCTTTCCTCCACCCAGCAACGTCATTGCAGCTTCAAAATAATGGAACACGTAATCTCGTACATATGGAAATTGGTAGTTCATAGTAATACAGTTGTGGCAATTGCGACTCATTTGAGTTCTGCTTATGAACTAAAAAAATCTGTTCTTAAAAATTTTGTCAGTGTTTATCCAAATTATGATTGATACTTAGCTCAGTTACTTTAGCAACAGGGAATGTCACATAAATTGTTATGCTTCCCTTGAGCCTGTGATAGAGTAGTATATCAGAACACATCAGCTGAAAATTTTATGGAAATATATAGACCTGCAGCAATGAAAGACAAAAGGCTCCCATTTGGGAAAAATAAGGGGGTTTTGTTTATTTTTCTTCACCTTTGATTGTTTGTTTTAAAATTTCCTACTGGTCAAGTCAGTCTCCCAGCCCTCCAGCCAATCAGTTGCCTGGTAAGGTGATGTGTTTTTCCAGAGACTACTCAGTTAAATAAGAAAGTAAATCAATAGAAGAAAAAAATAAAGTATAATGTCAGCTTACATATTACAGCAATTAATTTAATTTTTTTCTGTTATTGTGGTGATAAAAATAATTCACTTTGAAGCATAAATTCATTAATTGCTCACTTTCATCTGTGTGTCTGTGTGTCTCTTGCTGAGAAGGTCTTACTTCTAATAACTTATTTTTGTGTCATATTGCTTCTTAGAGAGAAAGAGAAGATACATATTTTTATTTAGGAGAATGTTTGTGTGGTATCTGACACAGTCAATCACAGGTTAAAGTTTATACTGTCTATTCAGTGCTTTAAGTACTGATACTGTGTCCTCTGTTACCGAGTTCAGTCTCAGTGTAAACTGTGCAACAAAGTAATTCTATAGAATATGATTATCTGATGTACTTAATATTTGCAGTCTACATTGATTTATGTAGGCTTTCATGGAGAACAGAGAATAGTGTGCTGTGTTTACAAAATTTTCGTATTCCTGCTTCATTTTTGTTCAGGGGTATTGTAAAGAAAATTTCTACTTATGATAGTGTAAGTAACAAGACCATGCAATTATGTGATTTGCACATTTTGTTACTGCTATACTAACATAAATTCCAACACTCTTGGCCTGTTCAGTTCCTTTGAGCTTGTCCTCTATAAATCTATTCTGGAATAATCTTTTGTTTGTTTCTCATTATCATCGCTCTTTTAAAAAATGAGCTTTTCATTTTGTGCATTGCATGGAGCTTTCTAGAGTAACTGAATGCTTGTGTCTGTAACTCTTTTTCATGTTGAAAGAGTCAGAAAAATATTACCAGATGGAGGTATTTCAGCCAGTAAGCATCTAGCAAGATCAAATTTGAGGTGTGGGGAGGTCCCACCACCACAGTTAGCATGCAGAACTGAGTGAAAAGCCAAGCCTCTGTGCCCTGCTCAGCTTTCAGAAGGAACGTAGCAATTTTGTGTGCTGTGGTGTCCAGATTCTTCTAAAAGGGTCTGTATTTCTTACTTTTTCAAGATTATTATGCTTTACTTGTCAGCTCTAGAGACTGAAAAGGAAGAGGGAGCTTCTAATTTTCCTCTCTTCGTAGTCTTCAAGTTGTCTTGACTGTATTTCATTTTATATAAAGAAAACACTCTTCTGTGAGGGGAAGGATAGGAAGGTGATTTTTGTTCCTGTTTTTAATAATAAGAATAACACATCCTACTGATTACTAGAAATTACCTGCTTTCATTCCTGCAGATAGCTTATTTAAATAGATACATAAAGGTGAAAACTACTCGTTTCTCAGTAATTTGACTACAGTCCATAGATCAATGAGTTTCATGGTTGTTTTTCCACATACTTCTTCATTTTACTTAGATCTTATAAGCAAAACCAAATAGCTGTAGATTTGGAAGCATCTTCCAGTAGGTTGAACAAGAGAATAAGGCATCTATGAGCGTACTAGTTTTAAATTACAAGAATGGTGATCTTTTACAAATGGCAACTTAATGGTTGCAGATTTAGTAATGGGAAATTTCTCTGGAGTTGCTTGTAATGACTGGTACCAGTATGTAACATGGGTTAGTATACAGGGCATTGCAGGTATTATGGTTTATAAAGAAGTTTAAGAATGATCTCTGTTCTCTTTACTGAGGATATGCATCACCTTAACAAAGGCAACTGAGTTAGATTTGTAAAATTTATTTAATTACCGGAAGTTTGAGTATTGGAGGAAAGTTGGTTTTACCTTTTCTGTTCCTTAAACTTGTTTATTTTATAGTCCAGCTTTGGTGAAGGAGTGATTAATTTTAGCAGTGATGGAACACTTGTTCTGCAGGCATGAAAGTGGATATTGATTAACTCCAGTGAATATTAGTCCAGAAGTTCAGGAAAATGCTGACAAGATGAAACTCTTTAAAAAACCTAAGAATCCAGTAAAACAGCAGTAATGAATGCATGGACAATATGCTATAGTATCTTACTCCTAAGTGCCAGGAATTAATACATGGATGTGTCTAGTCCATCAGGCTATGGTAGGACTTCATAAAACCCACATGGTTTTAAATTTGAAATAGTATGCAGTAGTGGGTTAACCT